TCCCAGAATTCTCCAGCCAGCAGAGCAGAGCTGGCTGGAGAATTCTGGGAGTTGAAGTCCACAAGTCTTAAAGTTGCCAAGTTTGGAAACCACTGGTCTATAGCATGTATTTCATTTTTTTTTTACAAAATAGAGCAAGCCCCGGTACTTTAACTATGTGCCTATTTCTTAGTCCCAGTCAGGTTTATTGTCTTTGAAAGATACTACTTTTGCTATGAAAAAATAAAGCTGTGATTCAATACTGTATCTTGAAAGAAAGGCAATTATTTCAATGGATTTTAAACAAAATATATTTACCTTCACTCAGGCCACAACTGTTTTTAGCCCTTAATTAGTTTTTGACCAATTTCATATATGACTCTTACTTACCTTTGCCTTCTCCTTTCCCCTACTCCTTCCTTCTTTGCTCTCTCTGTTTCTTCCCTATTCTTTTCTTCACCCACAGCAATCTTATGGCGATCGGGGCAGGCCTATCTGGCTCCAGATAGCTGAGTCAGCTTACAGGTTCTCTTTGGGCTCAGTTGCTGGAGGTAAGTAACATGTGACTGTGAATGTTTCAAGACTGTTGTAAAATTAAAGATCTGGCTAGTGTAGTTGTAGATCTGATGAGATAGAGTTGGTTGCTCCCCCAGATTGATAAAGCTATAAATTGCAATAGCATTTAGACCAGTGGTTCCCAACCTTGTTATGGCCATGCCCCACCTAAGCATCTTTAAAATCCTGATGCCCCACCCCCTGACATATAATTCTTACTTTACTCAAAAAGTGAACTCTACTCACATGGAGGAGATCATTAGCTTGGTTTAAACAAGATTCAAATTGCCCCCATTAAAAATCAAATTGCCCCCTGTGGGGCGTGGGCCCCACATTGGGAATCACTAATTTAGACTTATATACTGCTTCATAGTGCTTTTACAGCCCTCTCTAAGCCATTTACAGTCAGCATATTGCTGGTTAGGAGCTGGTTAGGATCAAACTCTAGAATGTGGAATGCAGAGTTTGCCTAGCAATACTGCATTCCAACCAATGCGCCCCCAGGGCTCTAAAGAGAAGTCTGAATTATTCTTTCTTTCATTTTCTTTCTTNGAGATGAAAAACTACATAAAATAGATTGGGTGTCTGTATTATTTTATTGAATTCAGTAAAGGATTCAGCATTGCTTGGCTCTGACTCAGGGTGATTTAATGTAAATGCTACTAATGGACAGATCGTACTGGGATTTATTTTGATTGTTCGTTTTATTCACCTCTTTTAATTTCTCTAAGTATTGTACATGTTGTGAAGTTGCACACTCATTTCTGATACTCGCACAGCTACTTTTAAAAACAATATTAAATGGAGATTTGTAAATCCATCTTGTCAATCCCTCCTATAAAAATGATACACGTCGTGATCCCGGATAACGAAACAATGTGTAATTTCCACTAAAACCTTAAAACTGCATAAAGTCATTGTCTTAAGAGACCACTGCCATATTATTTTTCCTCTGCATCATCACAGTGTAAAGGTATATTGCTAAGAAGCAGTTTTTATTAGTAGATAGGTTCATACTTGTACTGTGTTTCCCCGAAAATAAGACAGGGTCTTATTTTCTTTTGACTCCCGAAATAAGAATTTGGTCTTATTTTCAAGGAGGTCTTACTATTTTTGAGGTGCAGAAGGCGGCGAGCTGATCACCTCATGGCTGCTGCTGTGTTGCAATATTTTTGGAGAGAGATTATGTTCAGGGGAGGGCTTATTTTAGTGCATGTGCTCAAAAGCCGGATTGGGCTTATTATCCAGGGAGGTCTTATTTTTAGGGAAACAGGGTAATATCAGGAAAATATTGTTTGTTTTAAATATGAAAGATGAAAAGATGAACAGGGAAGAGATGAAAACTAGTTTCAAAGCAAATTTATAACATTTCAAAATTCTGAAAATCCCAGTATTGTAGAAAGGTGCAAAAATCACTGTTAAATCCTGTTCACAACTGAGACATTAAAAGGAGTGAAAACATGTGAAGCAGCTGATCAATATGACTATTCACATTTAAGCTTTCCTCTCACCTCCACCCATCCAGTTTTATACTAGCATTGAATATCTATACTTTTTGAGGTTTGTTTTTCTGGTCTGGGTCTTTCTGCCTAAACAAATTATCTCTGCTAAGCCACAAAGGACATGAAGGGAAATAATATGGGTTGATAGCTAAAGGCAGGTAATGTGTCTGGATCCCTTGTGAAATTATTATATTGAACCATGTGCTTTCCCCATTAACAGGTCACTCTGGAAGCAGCCACTAGATAGATTTGTGAGTCAGGAAAGGACTAACAACATCTATGTTGTCTGCAGGAAGAATACCTAATGTGAGAAAGTAGAGATTGCAATTAATGCTTCCAATGAATGAGTAGGTAAAATGCAGTCTTTTGCCATTTATGCAAAAATTAACACATTTGAGAGCACGAGAAACGAGACAAAGAAGTGATCTGTTTTCATTGATTTTTATAGAGCTCGTTTCATACAAATGCTGTTTGGAGCAAATGTTTAGTGAAGAGAGAATTATTTTTTTCATTTAGTTCTGCTTTGTGGAGTGAGTGACATACTTCTGGATAATATGGCTTCAGTTTATGGCTTAGCCATGTACTGTCCTTATTTTATGGTCTCCTCTGAGAGATATGGGGTTACAAAGCACCCTTTCTGAGTGATTTCCTACGTTGCTATTGGATTTGATCTTAAATATCTTCTGGCTGGAAAAAAAAACAGATAAGGAAAGTTAGATCTTTTGCTTGTTCCTGCTGGGAAGAGTTGCATTGGATTTGAACAACACCTTCACCTAAAAGCAAGTGATGGACAGTGGATTTATAGTCATGTTAACTAATGGAGGCAGAGCCCCCAAGTTTAATCCTGACTGAATTGCAGAAGGCAGTAGAGATGTCATTCAGGGCTTTCTATTGTGGCCTATGGTTAGGGTGACTTGTTAGAAACTGCAGTCTCAGGTTGAGATAGAATGAACCCCGTGTCAGGTTTCCGAAAGATGCCCTAATTGATTCATGAGCCTCGAACCAAGTTTTTAAAAAAACCCCAGTCATTTATTAGGAGCACCATTCCAGCAATACCGTATTGCATTCAGATCTAAGCCTCATTGAATTATGGCTGAACTTTACCCCGTTCCTTCCCTCCCCTCAGTCTGTGTCATAAATCACATTTTCCAATGAGGTGCACCCCTCACAAGCCTGCTGTAGTAATCTGAGATCTGACTCGAGCCAAAGGTATCCGTGGAATGCGCTCCTTCGCCTTTCCTCACCATGGCAACTTTATGAGTTGACACCCAGGATATTTGTGCTGTACCAATAAAGGGGGTTATTTGTAGCCGAGGGTGGAAATGAGGGGTCCTTGGTGCTCTCTCAGCTTGGTTGTTTCTGATTAGCACTGATGATGTTATCTAGTTGGGTAATGAAACATCTGCAAGAAAATAACCAAGCTCAGAGAGTACCAAGGATCCCTCATTTCTGTTGTGTTCTGCCTTTTCAGGAAAGACCCTTGTGCGAACTTTATGTCAGTGCCATAGCACTGTTGACTGCTTCTTGGATAAGCTCAGGCTGCAATGCGAGGGGGAGCAGGCCTTGTGGGGGACCTCTGATTAGTACTGATAAACACCCTCTGCACTCTGTGGAGTGGCTTTTGAACAAAGAAATAGGGAGCAGAATGCAGCCCGAACTTGCTTATCCGTGATGAATTCTCCACTTTTTATGGCTATTTTACGCGCAAAACAAGAATAGAAGCCGGCCTTTCTATCACACTGGCTGCTGACATGATCATTGGAAAAACGTCTTTGTTTTGCTAGTTAATAATCCATGTGCGGGAGCTTTGTGGAGAGATGCTTGTCACAGTCATTTTCTGTTTATAAATATTCATGTTCTGAAAGCCATAGTGTTAATTTTACTAATTTGCATCTTCTATCTGAATGCAGGCAATACGTGGGATGTAGTAAGCATCTTCATAAATAGGTTGTAAGTTATATTTGCATCAGAAGAAAAAAGAGTATCTGCATTGTTATAGCTCTTTTATTGCCTGAGTAGTAACCTTAGGAACAGAGGCTGCACTGAGAACAAGGTTGAGATGGAGAAAGGGGAAATCAGAAAAAAGAACCTCCCATTTAGGATTACTTCTTCCTTTCCACTGTTGTAAAGATTGTTAGTTCCCAGCCATATGGCATCTTTTTTTTTGTTCTCTGTTATTGCATTTCTATCATGTCTTATTTTCCAAACCGGTGCTTCTCAAACTTGGTGACTTTCAAATAGGTGGCCTTCAACTCTCAGAATTCCTCAGCCAGCATAAAGTCCACTCATTTTCAAGATACCAAGGTTGAGAAACACAGCTCTTCATGATGGCCCTTCTTAATTTCATTCCCAGAAACTTGTGAGAGTGATTGGGCTGAGGAAGGGTGACTTTAGATCTTTAGATGAGGAGGTTTCCATGGCTGAAGATGGATTTGAACCTGGTTCTCACTGTCCCGTCTAGCCTCTTAACCCACTCCTTCATGTTGGTTCTTCATTTCTCAGTGTTCTTCATATGTTCATTGTAACTCAAGTAGTGTACAGATTACAGTACTTCTTTTCTGGCATATTGGCACAAGTACATGCTGTTCCTAACAGGCATCACATTTGCTTTGAATCCAGATGATTGCTTAGCTGTGTTTCTCAACCTTGGCCACTTGAAGATGTCCGGACTTCAACTCCCAGCATTCGCTGGCTGGGGAATTCTGGGAATTGAAGTCCGGACATCTTCAAGTGGCCAAGGTTGAGAAACACTGGCTTAGAGTCTTCTTGCATAGAAGAATGGCCCCTCCAGGGAAGAAAGTGGTGCTATCTTCCTTGTGGATATGTTCAGTGGAGAGGCTGCTGGGTGTAGGAATTTTACACAAGTATTATAGCATATGAAGGTCTTGGGATAAAAACTTTGCAACTGATAGTATCACGTCAAATCTTTTCTCAGGAATGTGAAGGGTTTAACTCAGCTGGATTGTAAAAGGATATGAGGTATCCAGAACCTTATATTCACACATTCCTTGTTTATAAGACAATATTTAAAAAAAACCCAACTGTTGTCAACTGTGAAACAGTTGACCCTTTTTTTCACAAAACAGATGACTAAGATTATCACAGGAATAGGGAACAAACCTGTTTGGAAGAATCTTTATTTGCTGTTTTCATCAGATATATTTAAAAGCCTTCTTTTGGAGCAAAGTTGGTTTAATGTTGATCAGACTATTGTCTATAGCAGTGGTTCCCAAACTTGGCAACTTTAAGACTTGTGGACTTCAACTCCCAGA